GGGGGGAAAAGATTTGAATCGAATAAAGTGACTTACGGTTTGCAGCACGATTGACCCGGACACAAGCCACATCTCACAGGTTGAGGTTAATACTATTCCACCTTGGTCAACCCCATCGATAAATGTTGACTTAAACTTAAAGCAGTTCCCCAAAGAAACCACGCCAGATTACGTCTACAGACAGCACTTCGCAGAAATTCAACATCGTGACAGGAATTTAATTCCTATTTACATTGATGGATCGAAATCGGATAACTATGTTGGATCAATCTTTGTTTGCCAGGATGAAATCGTGGCAGAGCAAATAGCACCAAACTCTTCCATCTATTTAGCCGAGTTGCAGGCTATTTAGCCCTAAAGTATATAAATAGGAAAGGTCATAGTTGCTGCGTGATTTACGCCGACTCAGTTAGTACACTTCAGGCTTTGATCTCATGTGAACCTAGTTCTCACTCCACAGTGATTAAAATCCACAATGTGATTTGCCATCTTCTTGCGAGGAATCTCCATAAAATTTTGTTGGCCATGTAGATACAAGAGGGAATGAAGAAGCTTACGCAGCTGCAAAGTCAGCAAGTTTGTCTCAGCATACAATGTTTATTGAAGGAGCTGACTTGAAGCTAGTTGTTAAAAAACGACTAGCAAAGAGATGGCAAAATGTGTGGAATGCACAAGTCCACAATACATAAGATCAAACCTATGATAGAAAATTGGACACATAATAAACAGTATGACAGAAGATCTGAGGTTATTCTTACTCGTTTGAGAATTGGGCATACTCGGTTGTCTCATCAATACCTTTTGAAGGGCGACGAGCAGCCAGTATGCCAGTATTGCAACTGCTTTCTAAGTGTTAAACACATACTGCTCGATTGCTCTGCCTTTGAGACCAGGCGTAGATAGCATTTTGGAAATGCAAGTTTTAAAGAGATTCTGGGCCAGAGGCCAAATCTTGATGATGTATGGACTTTTTAAAAGTCACTAATCTGTATAAAGAAATTTAACTATTTATTTATTTATATATTTATTTATTTTTTCAGTGTATTGTTGTTCATTTGTTTTTATTATGTACTAGCAGACCCCGCCACGCGTTGTTGTGGCTCAAAATGTATCTATTATAAATGTATAACACTTCCCCCGTGGGGGGGGAATTTTTCGAAAAATTTCTTTTTAGTGTACATTCTCTTGACGTACCCTATTAAAACGCAAAAAACGCATCTAAAATAGTATAAATAGAAGCAGAGTTTTTTACGGTAAGCCTTAATCCTGTCCATCTCCCGGGGGGATTTCGACACGTATATTATATAAAAACACGTGCGTATTCGAATGCAGCGTTGTGTCAAAATTTCAAAGGAATCGGTAGGAACAAACGAACATTACATTTTTATTTATATAGATAGATAGAAGATGATCTGCTTTAGTTCATTTTCATAGAAAAGCATAATGCCTCACAGAAAAGCAAACTTAGGGCGTCGTACTCGTAGCGCCATCTGTTGGACATAAAAGCCTTAACCTAGATTATATATTTTAATTTATAAGAATGTTTAACGGAATAATATACAGTACAGCCTATGTCCACCCTGAGGTTCCATTCTAAATATTGGTGAAAATGTTTGAAATCGGATGAGTAGTTACGGAGATTACCTGCTGCAAACAAACTTACAAACATTACCTCTTTATAATAATAGTATAGATATAGTCGTCGTTTTTTGTTGTTATAAAGACATTTAACTATGCATTTATCTATTTGTTTTTTGTGTGTTGTTGTTTGTTTGTTCTTGTTCTTATTACGTATATATACTCGTTGTTGTGTCTTAGTTGTTATTTTATATACAGTACTATATATGTATTGAGTTGGGCGAATTAACCATTTTGTATGGCACAGCTTGTCCTTTGTGGCCCTTGCGGCAAAAACCCCAACCAACCAACCGGTTTGCATTGGAAGTTTGTATATACAGTAGTTAATCGGGGCCTCCTGCCTCTAAGGTTTCTATCTTGGTCGACTATCCTGTACCTATCCGTTCTTGAGATTAAGGACGGACGGACGACAATGGATTATGTTAAAAGTGTTTTTTTACTGTAATTCTAATAATTGTATCTACAGTACAATACAGTAAGTATTAATACAAATCAATATCAAAACATAAGATACAGTTATAAAATACAATTTATGACTGCAACATCTGTATTGAACGAATATATTGTATATGTTTTATGCATTAAATTATTTCAAAGCAATTTTTTGTCATGCAAAAATAATATGTCCTCCTTTTTTCATACAGGAAAGTTGGCAACTCTAGGAAGGTTGCAAACTATTGGAATAAACTACCAGAGCAGCGCTGTCCAACTTATCATAGCCCGCGGGCCATATTTTCTTCACCAAACATTTCGGGGGCCAAGAAGGTTGGTGATGGCTAATTGGTCGGCTGGGAATCACGCCACATGACATTTGCATAGTGCTACGGTTCAGTAAGCACTAATTGGTCAGCGAGTCCGATGTTGACGCTATAAAAAGGCGACAGTTCGACACACCGGATATACGTCACTCTCGTCTAAGTTCGACTTGGGAATTTTTTTGTTCAATAATAAATGTGAATTCTTCTTCCTGGAAAAAATAAGACATTCCCTGAAAATAAGACCTAGCGCATTTTTCAGAGCAAAAATTAATATAAGACACTGTCTTATTTTCGGGGAAACACGGTAGTAAAATAATTTTAATATTAATAATAATAATTTAGTAACATAAATTTATTCATAGTAAAATGTACTCGCGGGCCGTAAAAATTATTTGGCGGGCCGCCAGTTGGACAGCGCTGTACCAGAGTATACTCCTGGCAAGAAAAGGAACAAAATGGGCCCTATTAATTTAACATACGACGGAAATGCACTAGTGTCGAGATTGACAACACCACTGGTCGTCACGAACTTCACACACGTGATCTAACGTTACATAAAGGTGTGAGATAAATACTTCAGGCAGAGCCACAGCAGATGCTGGAAGTGTCCTCTATAGGTTTCAATGCAAGCGATGACATTTCACATCAGTCTGACTTGCCTTCCGAATATTCCGGTCTGTATCCGAACCGGTGGCATCCACATTGCTCCAAAGTCCGCACACCATTATTTATAGAAATGATCTGTTCTGTACAGCATTACCAAAAGAAACATGAAAGATTAGAAATAATATGGAGTTCAAGGCTCAACGTACACGATGCTTTTCGGATGTCTCTACAACAAAAATCCAGAAGGGCACATCCGACAACAGGCGCTCTTCGCCGATCCATCTGTCAGGGAAGGTAGTGCCGAGATACCGTTGAACAATGCATTTCCGACATACTGTATGGCTTTATTAATTACAGTATAAATACAGTATTACGGTATTTTTTTCGATTATTTCTGTGTGGGATCATTCTGTTAAAACCATTCCCAGTAATACGATCTAAATTTACTCATCGAATTTATGGAAAATAAGGCGGTTCTCTTTACGACGGTTTTCCAGAAACCAATTAAGTCGTAACAAAATATCTATGCCTCTTAAGGCATCACCCAACGGGAAAAGTCGAAATTACAAGTATTGTAGATAAACAAATTTCCGGTCTTAACCGGAAGACATTAGACAAGTCGCCATGCTTCGTTGTACTGTACTTTTATACTACTAATAAGTTGCGTGTTTTTACACTCAATTAATAAATATTAAAAATTCTGTAATTAAACTAATAAATATCTTTATTTTCTAAAACAAAAAAATATTTCTACCGGGTATATTAAGTAGTAACGCTGTATACGAAATACACAAGTTACTTTTCCGGACATTGCCGCATTTTAAAATTTTAGCTTTAGGTATTTTATTATTATTTTATATATTTTTTAAATCCCTTTTACACTTCGATGTTAAAAAATGATAGATTTTAACGGTTATTTACAGTAGACTTTTGCTTTCCATGTTTTTTTCTGTTAACGATCATGTGACGGGCCGTATTTAAGTAATGTGTTTATTAGCCCACCTCCGCGCAATTAAAATGTATTTGCAGAAAATATGTCATAAATTGAGGTTTAGTTAATGGAAAAATAGAACGGTTCGCTTTGTGACTATTAACTGGTTCGGTCGTAAATCGAGCTTTACTGTTTATACGTGGTATATCTATCGTTTGAATAGTTTTGTTACTTTTTCTGAAGAAAATTTTGAAGAAATGATTGCCGGTAATACAGTAAAGCCTGTATAAAATGGAAAAAATATTCCGGCTTACACAGGTTTTAATGTATTTTGTGGCGTACTGAATTATAAATTTGCTATATTCTCTCTTGAAAATTTAGATATATTCATAGAATGATACATTTTATATAAATATTTCTATAATTTTAATCAATATAATTTTATATTATTATTTAAACATATCTTTACATTGGATTAAACACATTTATATATATAAATATTAAATATTCAGTCATAATATTCAATATGTAAACAAGTAAGTTAATAAAATTCACGTTAAACTTTTTAAATTTTTTTCAATAAGTTTAATGGAATTTGATTTAAAGTTTCGTTCATAACATAGAAGAAAATAGGTATAAAAATAATAAGTAATCGCGTATAACATTAACAATATATTGTTAATGTTATACATGTTAACATTAACAATATATTGTTAATGTTATATTATAGGCATGGAGGAGGAGGATGGAGAAGAGAGGAGAAATCATTAAATGACCTAGAAAAGTTGAAAAAAAATGCTATTTTCGGACATAATCGGATTAAAATTTTTTTCTAAATACTTTGAAATTCTTATCAGTTGAAATATAATATCCTGTTTGAGATTTTTATCTTATAAAATCCGATTAAATGCGATTTATTCTTAAGATTTAATGAATTTTTAAAAAATATGAAAGAATGCTTTTTATCATCATTTATTCTACAAGAAGTTCCATTTACAATAGCGTTTCACCGCCATAAATTTATAATAAACACATTTAAATTAGTCGTCTAAATATTTTTATTATCAAAAATTTACTGCATTATTACTATTTAGATCTCAGTTTCTTTTTTTACATCCTTTTTCTTCGGTAGATTTTTATATTTCGTTCCAGTCATTTCAATCTATTATTATTTGAATTTTTGATAATATTGAATCATTGGCTGTTCTGATCTCCTTTTATCAATATTCAATATAATTAATAATATTAAATTAAAGTTTTAATTAAAAAAGCTTATACGTTTTACAATAAAGGTGTACATCAGACCAATTAGAAAACTTAATAGATAATTTTATTAAGTTTTTATCTATAACATCAAAAATAAACACACTTTTTATATATTTTATTTTCTTTTCCTATAATGTATAAATTTGTTATGTTAATGGCTTAAATTCCTTCTTTAATAGCATNACTATAGTTCTCTGCAAGTTTAATAACTTTGATAGAAATAAATTGTAAACAGTACTTAATTCTTAAGTGTAATCAGGCTATGTACTCAACAGGAATAAAGCCCTGCTGAATTTACAGCCAACCCGGTACTGTAATACACTTATATACTCATACTCATAGTTGAAAACACCCACTTTCGGGTTGAGAATCCGCCTTTGGAGGCTGTTGTCTACCAATTGTATATTTATTTCTCAGCCTTTTCTAGCTATCAGATCACATTCATCTACAATCTAAGCGTACGTTCGTAAATTCGAACGAATTACACGAATTACTAATGAGTCGTTCATAAAAGTACTAATTCCAGTCAGTGTGTGTTGATGTCAATGACGTTGCAAATGAAACTCTGAATGAAAAACTTTACGAAAATCTAATTTATAGAAAATTAATGCTATAAATTATAAAAGATTAGAAACTTGTGAATAAAATATATATATACATTAATATTAAATTTACTATAATTACTTTCATTTGAATAAATACTTGATTGAAAAAGGAATAAATTGTAGAAAATATGGAATAATTTTCATTTTTTTCAGTAGAATTTTTCATGTTGATTGGATTAGAATATTTGTCTTGTGAATAATCTGGAGTGAAAAGATGAATTAAATCATTATTTGATATAACTAGAAGTTATATATTTAATATTTTTAAATAAAATAAAAATAATATATGGAAATTACCATTTAATTTTAAAATTTCATCAAACCTGGTTATAAATGTAACCATAATGAATATTTTATATGCCTTAGTCATTTATAAAGTTAAGTTTTTCTTTAACAATAATTTGGAATTTTTAAAAATGTAATGTTTTATTCATTGTTAAATATTTATTTAATATATTTTTTAATTATTTAGTTTAATTTATTTACAATAATTATTTAAGTTATTTATAGTATTTAAATTTCCTTATTTTGCCAGAATAACAAAATAATAATTTAATTTTAATTAATTAAAGATTTGTAAATTTATATTCTAAAATTCTAATTTAATAATATCAATTAAATTATGATTTGCTTAAGTAATGATTGTAATTGTGATTGTGATTTGATTTTAATCTAAATTCAGTCTTTAAATTATTTTAAGTTAGTTAAAAGATGAAAAATAAATAAATAGATGATAACATTACTCACAGGAAAAATTATATATTTTTTATACAATTAAATCATATATTTAATTGTTGATTATCCTGTTATATGACATTAGAATTAACTTGTTTGAAATTAATAATCAGTCAAATTCCACGTTTAAGTTAGGGCCTTTTGAAATATCGAGAGGACTCGGCCATTTAATGTGTTTTTCAAGTTCCGGTATCAGAAAATAGCGTTAAAATTATATACATATATTTTTAAAATAGTAAAATTTGATAAAATATAAAGATTTTTCTTAATAGATTCAATGTAACAATTTGTAATAATTTGTAACAAATGTTTTTGAGGTCCCATAAATGTAAGTCCATAGCCAAGTAGTCTTGCTGACTCGTCTGTGAGAACGTAATTAAGTATACGTTTCGCTGTAGTATCAGAGGTTTTGGGTTCGATCTTATTGGAAACCAAACCTTATTTTCCTTTTCCTTTAATGGCCGTGTGGATAAAAACCACTGATCGCGGGTTCGTGCCTGAAAAGAAGGTTGGCCACGTGGAGTTTTCCGGGTTTTCTTCACGTGTATAACACCTAATTAGAGGCCAGTTACCCATAAAAGTCCTCTCGAGAGGCACTTTCCCTGGCAGATCGCCTTATCCTATCGATCTAATCCTCCTCCTCTAGATGTAATGTATAATAATCACGTGTCTAGTTTAGTGTATACTTTAGGTATTGTTATTTATTAATAAAATTAATAATTACGCAAGCATCATGTGAGAAAATAGACTATAAAAAGTTATATATCTATATATACATAATTAATTCAAGATCCACTCAAACAAAAACACGATTTCCCTCCAATTGGGATCCGAACTCCTTTCCCAATTTTTTTATTTTTACAATCCAAATTCGTAAATAAAACTCTATCTTTTAAAATACGTAATTATTTAAATATATCAAATCAAATCGAATTTTGTTAACAGTAGCAGATAACTAATCATTTAATACTTTTATCAATTGTCAAAGAACCAGTAAGCTGTTGCAAGAGATATATTAGATTGTAATCTGTATAATGCGACTGTAAACTGTTTAAAAGTATGGAGAGAAATTCGTATTTTAAAATAAATATATTTAAAAATACTTTTATATAATAATTAGGCAATATGGCGAATTCTTTAACACCAATTTTGATCGTATTATTTATATGCTTATCTGTTCACACCTGGAAAGGTAAGTTATTGTCCTTTAAAAATCATATATACGGTCGAACCTCTTAACAACAGCCACCGTATAGATGTGGCCTTTGTTAAGAAATTTAACTGTATTTAATGTAATTTTAATTTAATATTTTTAATTAAGAAAGTTGAGAAAAACGTCACTTCATTGTGTTGAGAAAAACGTCACTTCATTGTGCCAGTACACAATAAACAACAAATTAATATTTTTAATAATTTTAGATAGCACAATCATCAAAACACAATTTAGATATGGCTTTATTGTTTACTCAAAGTACATGTTAATGATAATAATCTTAGAGTCGAAAGAGTAATGATATAGATTTCTAGGGTTAATATAATGATATATATTCTATAAAATAGAGTAAATTAACTTAGAATAAACAATTGTACACTTTTCTTACCGATTTAAAAAAAAAAAAGTTGTCTGAATAGAGCCTATTGAACAGGCTCAGTCAGTTATAAGTTAGTCAGGTTGCGTTGAACCTGTTAAATATTCTAATTGACCTTTATTTATTTATTTATTTATTTATTATTAGTTTTAATAAGTTTAGCACTTTTATAAGATATTTCTTAAGAAATTAAATGAGTGTCCATTTTATTAGGATTAACTAAGTGAGGTGGTTGTACAACATACTTGGTACAGGATTTAAATGGCACCAGATTAACCGGAATAACATTTCACTATTCGTCCCGGATAATCGAGAGTCCGTTGCATATAAAAATATTATATTTATTTTTATTAATAAGTAAAAATTTTGAAAATATATTCACTGCTTAAATTACTATCGAATAACTAAAAGGAGGGATTTCGCTACATTTTTAATTTGTTTTTTACAGAATTAATTTTTTCCTTAAAGTTTGTTCATTTAATATAAATTATTTGGCATATTTTTTATTATACTATACGTTGTTTTGTAATAATTAATTAATATTTAAAAAATAATTTAAATATACAGCTTTAGGTTTAAGAGAAAATTGCACATCGAACGAAGAATGCGTACAAGCACACAATAAAACCGTTTGTGTTAATGGTACTTGCGAACTAGTAAAGAATAATTTCTTTAAGGACACGTCTCAAGGTATTATTTTAATTTGTTTTTTCCTAGATTTTACTGGTATCGAATGGGCTAATGCCTTCAAATACACAACATACACAATGTACACTTTAACTCTGTTCTGTACGCCAAATTCGGACTTTAGTATACGTTTAGGAACGTGTAAAGTCGGGGATCGCCTATATATTTTTACATCAATTTCATAGAAACGTGCTTAAATTTGTTATATTCTCAGATGTAAGCGTGTTTCTTGAGCCAAAATTTATATATTTTGTTTGAAAAATATTTGTAGTGTCAAACCTCTGAACAGTGGATACTGATGAGAACATAAAGATTTGATTTAATGGCATAAGGCAACGGAACATTTGGACGATCTTCCATGGGAAGGAATTTGTATGGGATTGTGTCAGACACGTGAAGAAATTCGGGGAAAACTCCACGTGGTCAGCTCGTTGGGCAGTTGCGAACCTGAGACCGATTACCTGTGTTCGGTGGTTTGAACCACTCACTCGGCCATTCGTGGGTCCGTTGTACGGAGATGGCCGTTATTTACAGATTACTTTGTACGCATACAAAAGAGAAACACTCCTATACAAAAAATGGCCGTCATTTAGAAGTCGACATTATTGGAGGTTCGACTGTATAATATAGTCTACTAGCAGACCCCGCCACGCGTTGTTGTGGCTCAAAATGTATCTATTATAAGTTTATAACACTTCCCCGTGGGGTGGGGAATTTTTCGAAAAATTTTTTCTTAGTGTACATTCTGTTGACGTATCCTATTAAAACGCAAAAAACGCATCTAAAATAGTATAAATAGAAGCAGAGTTTTTTACGGTAAGCCTTAATCCTGTCCATCTCCCGGGGGGATTTCGACACGTATATTATATAAAAACACGTGCGTATTCGAATGCAGCGTTGTGTCAAAATTTCAAAGGAATCGGTAGGAACAGACGAACATTACATTTTTATTTATATAGATAGATAGAAGATGATCTGCTTTAGTTCATTTTCATAGAAAAGCATAATGCCTCACAGAAAAGCAAACTTAGGGCGTCGTACTCGTAGCGCCATCTGTTGGACATAAAAGCCTTAACCTAGATTATATCTTTTAATTTATATGAATGTTTAANTTTTCACAGAAAAGCATAATGCCTCACAGAAAAGCAAACTTAGGGCGTCGTACTCGTAGCGCCATCTGTTGGACATAAAAGCCTTAACCTAGATTATATATTTTAATTTATATGAATGTTTAACGGAATAATATACAGTACAGCCTATGTCCACCCTGCGGTTCCATTCTAAATATTGGTGAAAGAATTTTTGAAATCAGATGAGTAGTTTCGGAGATTACCTGCTGCAAACAAACTTACATGCATACATACATACTTACAAACATTACCTCTTTATAATATTAGTATAGATTAATATAGATATTTAAAATACGCTTTCTTCATGTTAAATGATAATTTTTTACTCGATTTACTTTTAATGCATATTTTCAATTAGGATTCCTGATATAAATTTCAATATGCCTTAATATTAGGCATTAATTGTTTATTGCTTTGTTATTCGTAAAACAGTGGAGAAAATCCGGCTATAGATAAGTCACAACCACCAGAAAACAGCCACGAAACAAGGTGTTGTTATTAGGAAGATCCGGGCTCTAACTCAGATCCCCCATAATTTAAGAGCCGTACCAGCCGGGGCATCATTTTTTTGTTTCATCTATGTCTTATGTCCATATAATGCTTCATTCCTATAATGGAATGAAGCATCATATGGGCATAACAGGATTGAAGTGGAGCACCCATTATAGGAATGTCGTCATGGACCTAATTTTGGCATGTTGCATAGCCTACAGTGTGTTTATTCTCGTGTTAATTAATCAAATGATTACTGAATATCGTTGAATTTTGGAGAAATTGTAAACAAAGTTGAATTACTCCCGTTTGTTAAACAATTAGATAAATAATTACGAGAAGGGGTGGTTTGGAGTAGATGATTGCACGTGAAAACACCTACGTACTGCACTTTAAACGAGAGGTCATTTCTTTGTTGTTTGTAATTATATTGGAAAGAAAGAATTTCTTATTTATTTATTTATTGCAATTCTCGAATATATATATATATATATATTCGAGAATAAATTTAAAAAAACTAATTAAATTTTAATACTTTTTTATTCGAATTTCAAGTTGTAGTTCAAAATCAAGGTCAGAACTTTCTAAACTTGTAAAGAGTTAGTTAGAAACAATAGAAAAATCCTTTAGTCGACCATTTATGACCCATTTTCACTGTCAAAATCCTTGACGATTCTTTTGCTGAAGAGCTCAGTTCATTGCTGAACTAACGATTCAATGGTTTATTATAGACTTCCGTTCAATTGTATCTATTATTTTTTATTCTTTGTTTTACTTTAATCTTATTAAAGATCACATTCTTCTCGATAAATGACTCTCCATTGGATTTTTCTAATTTTGTAAAAAAAAAGGAAAAAAAAAGGGCGGAGTTTACACTGATGTACATAAATCCTAATATATAAAGTTATAAGATTTATGTTCGTGGCCTGTAAATTTATATCATGACCAGTAACCTAAATCATAAAGCCAAGGAATTTTCTAAACGGAATTAAATGATATGGCTTATGATTTTATTATTAGGATATAAATCTTAATAATAAAGTTATAAGCCTATATTCTTTGTTTGTACGTAATTATCTTGTATTTTTGATGTTGATGAAAGAAATGATTAAAATTAAACACAGTTAACATTGTATGACACTAAATGAGCTAACGCGCCACTGGATCTATATAACATTATGTCCTGTGGGTAAAAAAGGCAATTGTCTGGGGCCCCCGCCAACAGGAGGGCCTCAAACCGATGTTTTATGAGAAAATATTTTATCAAAAAATTCTCTCGAAGAAAAATGACTGAATTCAACACTGTACATGAGTCCCCCTAAATGAAATTTACTTGGGCCCCATGAAGCTATAACGCGCCACTGCATAGATATATGAGGCTTTAACATAGAAACACACCAATAATATAACTGTTTTCCTCAATAAATAGATTTTCATCGATTTTTAATGCTTTTCGAGTGTTCTAATTTGGTATTGTCTTAGTTAAAAGATAAAATGTAAAGTTATTCTGCTGACTTCATCCCTAGTCAATCGCAATTGAGAACTTTACATATATTTTTCTATACTGACGATTTTATACTTTTTAAAACTGTATAAACTTATAAAATAATATATTTCAGGCTTCCTGCTTCTAAATTTCTAGAAATTATAGCCATTATTGTATCTGTACTTTCTAATTTATATAATTTTAAGTTTGATGTAGTCATTAAGCGCTATGTATTAAAGTACAGCACTAAATAATTAATTATATTACATAATTAGATATTAATTTACTTATTTTTAAATGTAATTTAGGAGAAAAGGCGTGGAAACGTTACGTTCCTCTCATGTTTGGAGCAGCAGTAATTATATCAATAACAATAACATTAACGGTATACATCGTACGTATGAAGAGGAAGAGAGACTTGATCAAAATTGCTTCCAATGCCTTAGAAATGAATGCAAAATAAAATCAAATTAAGAATCAACTCGTAAAAATAATTGTGTAACATTCATTCCAAACTCGTTCTCTTATCGTTAAATCTCTTATAAGAGATAAAATTTATAAACTAGACACATTAATAATGTGTTAAGTGCACGTGCACGTGCACATGCACATGCAGAAAGACTTATTAAAGTTTAGACCACATACCGAAATGACAACGTCATTCCAATTCGTTACTGCCAGCAATGACGTTAGCCCGGGTCAAAGTCCATGGTTGGCAGAAGGTCACTCTGACCCACATTAAACTTCCAATGGGATGTTAGAAGGTATGTCCAACATCCCTCCTACTTCTCTCTCATCTCTCTCCCTCTCTCTAGGCATCACTTATGCTGAGAAGTTGAATAGTGTATTAGAGGAGCAAACTTGTCACCACAACGTCGTCGAGTGTGAGTCTAAACTTTGAAATTCGTGAGTTTTTATTATTATTTTTTTTTATTTTAAGTCTAAAAAAATTAATTTATTTTATTTTATTTACCACGAACGTGGCCATTTTTACTGTAATTTCCCCGAATAACATGTAAATATTTTACGATTTGTGTGTAATTTGTTGCGTGCTTCTGCAGTAATTTAATTTTTCTTTTATGATTTATTATTTTTAAATTTTGAAATTATGTTTGAAAATCATTTTTTTAAAATAATAATTTGTTAAAAGTTTGTTTTTGCTGTGATTTTATTTTAATTTTATATATTGTATTTATATATAGGCCTATATAATTGGAAAATATGGAATATTATTTTTGCTGATTTTTAAAAATTTTTTAGATAAATTTTAAAAAAGTTTTTATGATTTAAAATTATACTGAGTATAGAAAATATAGATAAAAATTTTTTCACAGTGAAGACTAGAATCTAAAAATATAAATTCTGCAATTTAAAAACACATAATTGAGTGTGAGGAAGTATTCTTTAGTGTATGAAGATGCTATTAAACTTAAAAATATTTTCGTTAATTTTTAAAATCTAAAAACACCCATGGTTGAATGTAATAAGAAACATTTTCAACGTTCTAAAAATATCCTTTTTGAATATTTTTTAATAAAATTCAAAGACATTTTCGATCTAAAAACACTTCGTCAGTCTAAAAATACAATATTGAATTTAAAAATTAGCATTTTTATAACTAAACATAGTATCTTAGAATCTAAAAACAATTTTAATATCTAAAAAACACAATACTGAATCTAAAAACATATTTTTAATCTAAAAAAAACAATCACTCTAATTGAGTCTTAAATATACTTTTATCTAGTTTAAAAAACAAAATTAGTGTGTTTTATAGATATAATAGAGTCTAAAAACATTTTTCTTATTATAAAAAAACAATATTGGATCTAGAAAACACAACAATAGAGTCTAAAAATCCTTTCATCCAGTATAAAAAACAATATTGAATGTAGCAAACACGCCAATTGAGTCTAAAAACACTTTAATTCAGTATAAAAAAAACAATATTGGATCTTAAAAAAACGTTTCTCATAACTCCAAAAACACATCATTAAATCTAAAAACATCCCCACTAAAGATTATTATTAAAAATCCAAAAGAAAAAAAAAGATCAAAACTAAAAGGCATGAATCTAAGAGCATCATTCATTGAAGATTTTTTATACGTCGTAAACATAAAACATAAAACCAAGTAGAGGTTTACTGTATTTATAAAACCATAAACTCATACAATACGATTTTAAAACAATAAAGAAAATACACGTTTAAGAGTATTTTTTTTAGATTCGTGTGAATAAAATGTCATTTGGGTCATCGGAACCTTGACCCGTGTCATTTGGAAGAGGCCAGAACATCATTTGAAAAACACATTGCAAGGGGGCCATTGTCACGTTTCTGTATCGTTAATGACGTTTACCAAGATGATGATGATCATCATCTTCTTCCTCGCGCCTCTTCTAAAAAAAAATCATCAGTAAAAGTCAACAAGTGTAAGAAAATAGGTTATTATATTCTATAAAAAAAGAAGTAATAACATAAAAAGTCTGGGTCATAACGCATAAAAATTCGAAAGTTAGAACGCCTCCTGCCTGGGGGGGGTTGTTAGAAAGTTTGTCGTCACACTAGGAATATTGTTTAAACCATTGAAAAAAAATAGTTACAAATACAGTGCAGACCGGAAGTAGGAAGTTGCTCACTCTTTCAGATGAGGGTCAACGATTGCTACCAAACTCAGTAGTAGATCTATTTGCGTCAGTGGTGTGGTGTGTGTGTATGTATCGCAGTGGGCCATCTATACACAAAAATTCGATAGCAAGTGAAGCTTAACGCATCGTCACAATAACAGAAAATATGAATGTTAAATAATCGAAAATATAGATCACAATATAACCGACGAGGTGAGTTTATTTTTATATATTTATGCATAAATAAGTCATCCGTAACGTTTAACTGTTACGTGTTAGTATAACAAGTTTAATTAAGTGTGGCATTAACTCGATTTTTTTTCCGAATTTTACGATGGAATTTGGGGATTTAAATTAAAATAATGTACACTAGCACACACTAATTACACTAGTTTGAGTGTAATTTTTTTGCATTTTCGAAGGGAATTTCTCATGCTTTCAAGCTCCAAAAAATTCAAGAAGGTACTTTCTCACTTTCTCTTATTTTCTGGTGATTTATTTATGTTTACTTTATTTCAAAAAAATTTAAATAATGACGAGGTGAATGGTAGGAGTTTCTCGTGTAGACTCCCTTGTTCCATAAAATTGACAATACTGGGAGGTCGTTTAAGCTTTTCTTAGTGTAGATTATATAAATTTCGTGAAAAATAAAGCGATAAAAATAATTTCCGCAATTCATTTTTTCAGAAACTAATGAGAATTTAAGGCCTATGTCCTCTCTCAACCCTCCTTTCAACATTTAGATGTGGTGTTCCTTTTTTTTGAATAGCCAAAAAACACAGTAAATTAATGCTAATTCCTGAACAAATTAAGGTCGTAGGGGTATATTTATGGAAAATATTTACAATTTAGATGGAATTATTTATGATTTTTCTTGTAAATTCGAAGTATTTTACGATGGTGATGTCAGAATTTCTTCTAATTTCTGTATAGTGAAATTTTAGTGATAATTAGGTTTGAGTTTGAAGCGTCAAATTTTAATTTGTTGAGCGCTAAATCATTTTGAAAATGGGAATTTTCGGAAAAATTTCACAAAAATTCCTAAATTAATTCGTAATTTATATATATAATACATTAGAAAGATCCTTTAATCTTCAACTCACGATGGAAACTGCAACATAGAATGGAGCGTGATATCATTTCCGTAATCCTTGACATCTTCAGGATTTTTCTAGGACTGGGGCGATGTCGTCATTTTTCTGGAGATTCTAGAGGAAGAATTTGGCAACAATACCGGTCGATGGTAGACAGTTAGAGTAACGGTGACCTCAAGTTCGCGACCTTTGCACCGACGTCACGTTCAGAGCAACGTTGACAAATGCATGCACGCTACAGGAAATTTTTACACAGATTTCAATTGTTAAAAAACACACACACAAAAATACACACACACACAAATACACAATAAAATCATTGAATTTTCGAAAGGAAAATTAATTAAATTAATTATTGATTTGGCTCTTCATTTCTCTTTGAAATTTGCAAATTTTTTTTTAGGCAAAGGAGGAAAAATGGCACAATTTTTACAATTCGTTTATCAGTTTTTAGATCCAAATTGCTGTTTTTTTTCCCCTAGAAATTTGTATGTACTTCTAGATAAGATATTCGTGAAGCGATTTATAATTAGATCCAACGATTTTTCGGAAGAACAAATTTGAATCTGTCTTGTAAATTATATGAGGGTCGAAATGGGTCTGGTATTGTTCCGCTCCAAATACAATGAATATATTTTTAAATAAAATTATTATTGTTTGATTCTGTGTTCTGCTTTTTATTTTAGAAATTTTTTTATATTTTAGATTTAAAATTATATACAGTATATATATATATATATATGCCTATATTTTCCGAAATTCGCTTCATGAAGAAATTTCAAAATGAATAAATTCATTAAAATTTAGGAGAGAATTTCTATAGAAAAAAATTAAATAAATAAATACTGTTGTTATGAATGTCAAAACTGAAAAATAATTTCTTTAAAAAATTCCCTTCTATCAGTCAAAATTTAGAATTTATTTGTACAAAATCATGTCTTGTAAGGGATATTTCTAGTTAAAAGTTAAAGTTGAATAAGTGCTTCTTTAAAAATTTTTATAAAATCGCCAAAATTCAAACACAATTTCTAAAAAATTCTTGCTGGAAATGTTAAAAATTCCCTTAAAAATATTTATTACATTAATATTTAAAAAAAAATACGAGTTCCAACGAAAAAACTTACGTTCTATTCGTCGGAACGAAATAAATTCGCCATTTTAAATATATTACACTTAATTTTTTTTGTTTCTAAGCATACATCTGACATTTTAATCAAGAATTTTGACAAGAAAAAAGAAAATTTAAGTAGAATCAAACTTTCGTTTTCAAGCAAAGAGAGGAGAGCGTGAATCAGATAATGTCTGAAGATGTCATACGAAGAAGATTCGTGTCACATGAAAGAATTAATGTTAAATGGGTTAACTAGACTTTCATGATCACGAATAGCAATTTCTTATGATTTATCACCCCCGTATACCTATCACAATTATCTTTAAAACGTTTCTATAAAGGAGGAGAATGTGGTGAAGCCAAGATTTGAAGAGCTTTACAGATAAAATGTATTTTTATTTTTTAAATTTGATACGTTTTGTACTGATAAATATAAGGTCTCATTCAAAATGTATTGTGTTCTTAGTGTTTTGTATGGTTTTAAAGGCGTTATGCCCTTGACATCTTTCTAAGAATCTCATTTTAACGTGACGGAATTTATTTATTTATTATTTTATTTTATTTTTTTTTATTCTTGTAGGTTCGAGTAGACTTTGTCTTTGATGTTGCTGCATTTAATTATAGTATCTGACTTCATGGCTGTCCTTGTCTTACCCGCCTTGATAAATTTCAATAGGTTTATAACGGTTATAATTCTTCCCCCCTTTAGCAATTTTCCTTACTAACGAGGTGTTTTTTGTGTAATAAATTCCAAGCAATTTTATAATGGTTCACGTAGAATTTCATTGTTAAATAACACTGTTTTATAATATTTCAGTGAAATTTTTTGGGCTTTTAATTGATACAAATGACTAAAATTTAGTGGAACTTCTAAAAAAAATTCTGCTTTTCTTAGATTTATATAATTTTTATATATTTTAAAAATAAATATAAAAATTTTAATTTGTTTTTCAATAAATTATACAATGAGAACAAAGAAAATAAGATTTGTATGTTCAAGAGATATTCATCTCTTATTCACAATTTAACTTGAAAAATAATGATTGTTTTTGTTTTCAAATAAGCAAATATGCATACAAAATATTAAAATTACTTTGCATTTTTGATAAAAATCTTGTAAATTTTATATATTTTCTTTTATTTCAAACGAATCACGTTTTTAATGTGTGTAGAATATTTATGTTACAAGTGCAATTTAAGTGTCTGCTAAAATATGCAATAAAAATTGCAATTTTTAAGTGAAATTTTGGGCATGTCTCACAAAATTACTATACAACATTTTACTAGTAATATTTAAGAATAAAATCCGTTATACACGAATTTTATTTAGGTAAGTGCGCATTATACATGCTTCTGAGAGAAATACGTAAAAATAAAACATTTTTTAATATTATAAATAATAATAATTAAATTATTAAATATATAAACAAATTGGTACTTAGACTTCTTGTTTTGTTTATATATTTTTATATTTTCCGTAGAAAACAAACACCAAAAACAAAATACAGATACTAACTTTATAGTTTGCTTATGTAAGAAAAATTAATTTTAGAAAGCAATCTCTTTATAAAATATATATATGATGAAATTTATAATATTTATGTTAGTCAAATTACAAATTTTGTTCGACATTTTATAAGAATGACGGTTACGTAAAGGTTATCTTTAAAGGTCACGACGTGTCGCGCACGAAAGGTTATCTTATGAATAAAAAATAAAATTGTAGAAGAGAGTTATAGAGAATTTTTTTAAATAATAAAATTAGTAAATTTAATTTAACTTGCATTAAAATTTAATTAAATTATTTTAGATACTGTATTTTATTTAAATCATGGAAAAAATTCATGAACATGGACGGATTCATAACTTTGTATCGCGCCTGAACATACAATATGTCATATTTATGAATATTTGATTCGATGCCAATTAAAAGTTTTGATTTTTTTAAAGATTTAAATTTGCCATTTAAAGTAAAATACATTTAAACTGATTTACTACTTTTGCTTTATAACGTTAACTTTTATAGATAATTCTTCAGGGAAATCCGGTTTGTGAGTCTATTCTTTTTATAACTTTGCATCTAAGATTAACTATTTTAGTTCTATACAAAAACAATATTAAATGGGGTTTCATGTGGGCTTTTATGATTCATTTTATAAATTAAAAAGCTATATATATAAATCTTTAAATTGGGGGAAAAAAGTGGATTTATATTCAGCTAGGAACACTTACTCCTTATGTCGATACGACTTTTTGTACGGGACGTATTCTAAATTTTGAATGGGTTGGTTGATATTGTTATCTGTTTTCGGGAAATTTAGACATTTCAGTGTCTCCGAGACTGAAATACCTGATTAGAAAATGTATAAAGTATTTCAAAAAGCTGTCACGATTGCGATGATCTAACCACTTGTTTAGTATCCTTGTCAATCAAGTTCTGCTTAATAATGCTCTTGTCTAAGGTCACGTTCCTCCTCCGACTTCTGAAGTGATGTCTCGTTATACATCGTCTTCTAAGATAATTTACAGATTATCTATTTACTTTATAACAAGGAAAATAATAATAAATATCAGTTTATTCTTATACTTTTTACAGTTTTTATACACATTTCTTTATGTAAATGCGCTGTTCGCTTAAATTTATACCAACTAAAATATCGCTTAATGGCGATTAGGGAGATAATTTATTGTATCTTTTTAAAAAATTACATTTCCAATATTATTATTCTATTATAAACAATAATAAAAACATTTCTTAATAAATTTAAATTTAATATAAATGCAATAAGACAATAACGTTAAAGTCGTCGTCCTTAGATGATTCCGCTATTTAATATGAGTTCCGTACATCGTAACCTCATTATGTAGTTTCTTAATGTGATAATTTATGCACAAACCGTAACCATATATGAATTAATTAAACTGGAGTAGAGAAAAACCGCGTGCCACGTGACAAGTCTGTTCTTAAATTCCGGTTATGCAACTTTTAGAGTGTTGAAAGTTATGTTGGATTGTTTTTATCTGTGGTTTTAGATCTACATATGAAAACACATTAAATATTTATGATTCGTCCGTATATGTGTAATATATATTTATGTGTGTGTGTCCAAAATAAAATATTTATTATCAATATCACTCTTGAATTTAAAAAACTAACATAATCGAGCGACGAGTTGATAAAACGAGTCATTCCGGATGTTTTTATTGATATAAAAACAATATTGTATATTTCAAGAAACTAGTTTTGGATGAGCTTTGAAGTACAGGAGATCTTGGGTTTAAAGTTCGACATCATCCATCATTAATAATGTTAACGAAAAGAATTAATCATGGTCATCGTTAAGCATTGAAGTTACTCTTCACGTTTTGTACCAAAATTTTCTACGATTCGGTTTATAATTTTTTTCGTTGCGCTTTATCTGTATTTTTCCTATCGACTCTTCATATTATCGATGAGAAGTAACCATCAACATTGTCTTCTAAACTCATCAATCCTTTTGGATAAATTGATCTGAAGATGCTCTTCACATTTTGCATTAACATATCTTCTGATTTAGTCCATGAACTTTTTCTTTGCATTGTTTTTTCAATCGATTCTTCACATTATTGATGAAGAATTACCATTAGCTTCTTGATCTTCACCAAAATTAATTCATCAATCAGTTTGAATGGAATGCTTTGAAGTAATTATTCACATTTTGCATCGATATATGTTATGATTTAATTCATAAATATCGTGATTCCCACTCTTCACTTCTCTTTTCATCATTCTATCCATTAAAGTTTCCACGAATGCTTCATGATTGAAAACAATCGTGGTTCAATGTTTAATTTCGATGTTCAATCACATGTTTAATTTATGTTAATATTTTGAAAGATGTAAAAGCTTTTAAATCATGAAGGTTTAAAATCAAACACGAAAATTGTAATATAAATAAAGTTCTTCATAAAGGGACCATATTACCATCCATCGTTTTATGTAAATTCCGAATTCGATTTTAAGTATTTAAAATATTTTTATAGAATTCTATTTAATTTAGTTATAAAAATTTCACTTAATTTAGGAATTTTATAGAGGAGATGCTTCTAAACTTATTGTTTCAATGTATCATCATCTCCTCCTCCTGGATAGTTTTCCTGAATGGACAGTACTTCAAACCATTTCATTCAGAAGGCTACGAAAGCAAATATTATCGCAGTAAGTAATTTTCTATTGTTAAAATATATTCACTGACCATGAAATTTATTAATGTATATTTATATATTTTAGTATCTTTAAGTTGTGGTTACGACTCGATGACTTTAACTGTACAAAGCAGAGAACCCTTCAGAGGACAAATATATGTTAAGGATCATTACCGTTCTCCTCGATGTCGTGCCACAGGAGATGGCAATAAAGTAATTTCATTGAAGTTATTTTATCATCCATCCGTCTGTGGAGTCGTAAACACAGTAAGTTTACCAAAAAAATCCATAAAACGTGTAATTTTGGGGCACTTTTAAAGTTTCGATTCCTCTTCTTTGGACAGAAAAACGGAACTTTCGCTACAAAAGTCATTATTCAGCGTCATCCTAGAATAGTACTTGGTGACGATGAATCTTATAAAGTTCTATGCACCTTTCCGGAAGTATTCCGAGAGAAAACTATTGTTAGCAATGTGATAGAAGTGAAGTAAGTCATAAATTTCACTGGCGCATAACTAACGTCTAAACGCACGCTTAAATATATATTTATTTTTAAACTTTAAAGTTAAATATATAAATTTTTATATAATATATCGATATTAATGAACTTAATTAAGGGGTAATCATAATGGAGTACTACCCACTTCCAAGTTCAATGAGAAATCTTTGTCGCCTGGAGTGAAACTAAGAATTACGGATTTAACAGGAAATGACATAACGCATGCTAATATAGGTCAAGAATTAATTTTAACTGTTGATATGGATGACGAAAGTAAGTCCACTATTCGTAATTTATATAATTTTAGACATTGAATCTATGCTGATGTGTACCATTGATACTGAATATATCGGTGCGTACCCATTAGTAAGGATCTATCACGATCTTCTGAATGGCAGAGATATATGAAATATAGTGATTGCATTTTGTATGTTTTTTATATGTATATTTGTACATTTCGTACAGAACTATTTGGCATATTTGCTGCTGATTTAGTAGCCTCTAGTAGCAGTGGATCACATGCATTGGTTTTGGTGAATTCTGCTGGGTACGTTTAATTTTATTGTATTAAATGATTATTAAATGTTCTATTTAATAAATTTAAAAATAGAAAAAAATCAATTTACCTTTTTTTTAATGGTGAAATCATTTTAACAAGATTTACAATTAATTCCTTATTTTTCTTTAAATTTTGTTAACACAACTTCACGTAAAGAACGTGAATTTCTTTAACAATGTTTCGGATATTTAATATTTGTTTTTTAATTATTTATATCAGATATAAAGTTGATTAAATTTATTAATGTTAAATTAGATGTGTGGTGGAACCGGCAGTTTTCGGTCAACTAACGAAAATCTCAGGTTCTAAAGATCTTCAAGGACGTTTCAAAGCCTTCAAATTTCCAAATGACTCCATTGTCAATTTTAAAGTGACGATTAAGTATTGCGTGGACGAATGCCAAACAGTTATTATAAATATATGATTCTTTAAAATGTATTTTCAGCAAATTTATATATTAATAAAGAAAATTATTTACACTTTAGGCACATTGTACAAATGGCACTAGTAGAGGTTACGGTCGAAAAAAGAGAGCGGCAGAGATATTAATCGCTGAGGAAGATAACATTGAACACAGAATACCCAAAGACGTGGTACTTTATTACTCTATAATTGTTACAGATCCTGAAGCAGATAACGTCCGACAGCCAAACACAAATAACGATTGTGAGAATCTTGCAATATGTATTAGAAATTAAGATTTTTCAAATTTACGTAACCAAATTTATAATTATTTATAGTTTACAACGATATTGTACCTTTCGACCAACTGTCAGCTTTGGGCGTAGAACCACAAGAGGAACCTCAAACACCTTTCCATCCCATTCTATTGCACCAAAATCTGTATCTCTTACATCCGTTAACAACTAAGGCTACGGAATCGCCTCAATTTCATCCATATCAGGGCTTTACAAAGAGATCCGGAAGTTTTCTTCCCGAAGATTATGTCGTGTTATCTAGTGGACTTCAGATCAGAAGAAATCGTCAGTAACGTTCTAATGGAAAAAAAACGAATCATCAACGAGTCTACGCGAATAATTATGATCCGTTTAATGTTTATGATGTCGAAAACACGAACTCGATCCACCGAATCTTTTTTTGTATGGCTCAAATTAACATTTTCTACTGAAGTCCTATAACTTTATTATTCTCTCGATGAATTTTTAATTTTTTAAATTCTTTAAACTCCGGTTTAAAGTTTTATTCTAAGGGTCCTTTTCTCAAATCTAGTCTCTACAAGTACTATCTCAAGGTTATTTAAATGAGGGATGGCAAGAAAATGGCTGATGTCAAGGAGTTTGCAAAGTTCAAATTCATGTGGAAGAACTCGCATGATTCAGTAATTAATTGAGTAACTCTTCACTATATCTTTTAATTTTTAATATTTATGGGAAAAAATTAAAAATTTTCTTCGTTGTTACCATTTTATCGCACATTGCATGTAAGCAGTCGACTCCGGAAATATGTTAATTAATGTAAATAATTTACTGTATGTTATTTAGCCTTGTATATGAAGCCGATAAAACCATTTAGCTGTAGAACAGCAGATTTAAGATAATTCATATTAATTTTTTATATAAGAATGATATTGATTGTCAGTCCTTTAAAAATAGGCCAACATAATTCCTGAGGGAAAATAACTCACAGGTTATAAACCGATGCTGCAAGTTCAAATAATTAACAACAAAATGGTATCCAGAGATGTAAAAATATACTTCTACTACATTTTATATATAAATATATACATAAAAATTGTACATATTGTAAATTCTTAGATGTGTAATAATATAAAATTATAATTAAATGTTATGCCATAATCATTATTAAATATAGAAATCAAGGTCGTAGAGTTTTTGTCATGATACCATAAGGAAAAAAATGAAAAAATAAACTTTGCTGATGTCAAATGTAACATTAAATATTCGAAGTAACGTTTTAATATTTTAAATTATTGAATATTTAATGAATATTTATATACTTTCTCACGATATATGTTTAAAGTAAACTTTTATTATACAAAATGAAAGATACAAATTGTTTTACTGTTGTGTATTTTTTTCTATGGTCGAGTGAATATTTGTGTTTGTTTATTCTTTAAAATTTTGAATATTTTCAATAAATATTTTCTGTTAATGATTATTTTATTATTCTGTTATTTTAACGAAACTATTGCTGGTGTGAAAGTAATGTTTACATAATGGAATCGAGATTTTATTGGACGATGTTAATTAATGTGAATAACAACACGCTAAATATCAAATACGTGACCTTCTCGTGCTTACGTTTATGTTTGGAACAAATTAGCGTGTGTAAGCGTGAGAGAACTCGTGACCCGAAGATTTGAACTTGAATTCTGTAATTTATAAGTGAAAAAATTAAATTGTTTCGTTCGATGATGATTAATGAACAACAACCATGCAATTATATGGCGCCAATCTGCATATACTATATATATATACACTGCCAGGTCGTGGGGAGTGTGGGAGAGCTGTGAATTTTTCCCAGAAAAATTTAGGACCCGTAGTGCTTCCTCTTATAAAATTAACATTATTTTCACTAACAGAAAATAAAACCTGCAAGACTTCTTTTTATTAATAAAAAAAACATTCTACTTATTTCCTTTGTTCAAAAAATAAAAAGATTAAGACAGCCCGCTAAGTGACAACAGAGATTCTTCCTACCCCCTGGGTCCTGTAAAAACTGGGTAGTTTTGCATACTGTTAATCAGTGGTGCACAAACTATTTTTATTTCCGACCCTCCCCATTTTGTGTAAAATTTTGTCGCGACCCCTGGATAGACAGTAGATGTTTTGTTAATCGTCAACGTAGTTAAAATGAAATTCTTCCTGGGATTTGCGCTTATGTTTCTGATTTATTAGAGGTCTGAATAAAACACATAATTTTATGAAACAATGGTTTTTATTTATGCATATGGGTATAAATATTTATTTTATGAAAAATACTTTTAAAAAACTTTACATCATAAGAATTCAATGTGAGGTATGCTATTCTATTTTTTTAAATATTAATAATATAATTTCATTTGATTATTTTACTGGTACCTGATACTTGNCTAAAAAACACAATACTGAATCTAAAAACATATTTTTAATCTAAAAAAAACAATCACTCTAATTGAGTCTTAAATATACTTTTATCTAGTTTAAAAAACAAAATTAGTGTGTTTTATAGATATAATAGAGTCTAAAAACATTTTTCTTATTATAAAAAAACAATATTGGATCTAGAAAACACAACAATAGAGTCTAAAAATCCTTTCATCCAGTATAAAAAACAATATTGAATGTAGCAAACACGCCAATTGAGTCTAAAAACACTTTCATCCAGTATAAAAAAACAATATTGGATCTCAAAAAAACGTTTCTCATAACTCCAAAAACACATCATTAAATCTAAAAACATCCCCACTAAAGATTATTATTAAAAATCCAAAAGAAAAAAAAAGATCAAAACTAAAAGGCATGAATCTAAGAGCATCATTCATTGAAGATTTTTTATACGTCGTAAACATAAAACATAAAACCAAGTAGAGGTTTACTGTATTTATAAAACCATAAACTCATACAATACGATTTTAAAACAATAAAGAAAATACACGTTTAAGAGTATTTTTTTTTAGATTCGTGTGAATAAAATGTCATTTGGGTCATCGGAACCTTGACCCGTGTCATTTGGAAGAGGCCAGAACATCATTTGAAAAACACATTGCAAGGGGGCCATTGTCACGTTTCTGTATCGTTAATGACGTTTACCAAGATGATGATGATCATCATCTTCTTCCTCGCGCCTCTTCTAAAAAAAATCATCAGTAAAAGTCAACAAGTGTAAGAAAATAGGTTATTATATTCTATAAAAAAAGAAGTAATAACATAAAAAGTCTGGGTCATAACGCATAAAAATTCGAAAGTTAGAACGCCTCCTGCCTGGGGGGGGTTGTTAGAAAGTTTGTCGTCACACTAGGAATATTGTTTAAACCATTGAAAAAAAATAGTTACAAATACAGTGCAGACCGGAAGTAGGAAGTTGCTCACTCTTTCAGATGAGGGTCAACGATTGCTACCAAACTCAGTAGTAGATCTATTTGCGTCAGTGGTGTGGTGTGTGTGTATGTATCGCAGTGGGCCATCTATACACAAAAATTCGATAGCAAGTGAAGCTTAACGCATCGTCACAATAACAGAAAATATGAATGTTAAATAATCGAAAATATAGATCACAATATAACCGACGAGGTGAGTTTATTTTTATATATTTATGCATAAATAAGTCATCCGTAACGTTTAACTGTTACGTGTTAGTATAACAAGTTTAATTAAGTGTGGCATTAACTCGATTTTTTTTCCGAATTTTACGATGGAATTTGGGGATTTAAATTAAAATAATGTACACTAGCACACACTAATTACACTAGTTTGAGTGTAATTTTTTTGCATTTTCGAAGGGAATTTCTCATGCTTTCAAGCTCCAAAAAATTCAAGAAGGTACTTTCTCACTTTCTCTTATTTTCTGGTGATTTATTTATGTTTACTTTATTTCAAAAAAATTTAAATAAAGACGAGGTGAATGGTAGGAGTTTCTCGTGTAGACTCCCTTGTTCCATAAAATTGACAATACTGGGAGGTCGTTTAAGCTTTTCTTAGTGTAGATTATATAAATTTCGTGAAAAATAAAGCGATAAAAATAATTTCCGCAATTCATTTTTTCAGAAACTAATGAGAATTTAAGGCCTATGTCCTCTCTCAACCCTCCTTTCAACATTTAGATGTGGTGTTCCTTTTTTTTTAATAGCCAAAAAACACAGTAAATTAATGCTAATTCCTGAACAAATTAAGGTCGTAGGGGTATATTTATGGAAAATATTTACAATTTAGATGGAATTATTTATGATTTTTCTTGTAAATTCGAAGTATTTTACGATGGTGATGTCAGAATTTCTTCTAATTTCTGTATAGTGAAATTTTAGTGATAATTAGGTTTGAGTTTGAAGCGTCAAATTTTAATTTGTTGAGCGCTAAATTATTTTGAAAATGGGAATTTTCGGAAAAATTTCACAAAAATTCCTAAATTAATTCGTAATTTATATATATAATACATTAGAAAGATCCTTTAATCTTCAACTCACGATGGAAACTGCAACATAGAATGGAGCGTGATATCATTTCCGTAATCCTTGACATCTTCAGGATTTTTCTAGGACTGGGGCGATGTCGTCATTTTTCTGGAGATTCTAGAGGAAGAATTTGGCAACAATACCGGTCGATGGTAGACAGTTAGAGTAACGGTGACCTCAAGTTCGCGACCTTTGCACCGACGTCACGTTCAGAGCAACGTTGACAAATGCATGCACGCTACAGGAAATTTTTACACAGATTTCAATTGTTAAAAAACACACACACAAAAATACACACACACACAAATACACAATAAAATCATTGAATTTTCGAAAGGAAAATTAATTAAATTAATTATTGATTTGGCTCTTCATTTCTCTTTGAAATTTGCAAATTTTTTTTTAGGCAAAGGAGGAAAAATGGCACAATTTTTACAATTCGTTTATCAGTTTTTAGATCCAAATTGCTGTTTTTTTTCCCCTAGAAATTTGTATGTACTTCTAGATAAGATATTCGTGAAGCGATTTATAATTAGATCCAACGATTTTTCGGAAGAACAAATTTGAATCTGTCTTGTAAATTATATGAGGGTCGAAATGGGTCTGGTATTGTTCCGCTCCAAATACAATGAATATATTTTTAAATAAAATTATTATTGTTTGATTCTGTGTTCTGCTTTTTATTTTAGAAATTTTTTTATATTTTAGATTTAAAATTATATACAGTATATATATATATATATATGCCTATATTTTCCGAAATTCGCTTCATGAAGAAATTTCAAAATGAATAAATTCATTAAAATTTAGGAGAGAATTTCTATAGAAAAAAATTAAATAAATAAATACTGTTGTTATGAATGTCAAAACTGAAAAATAATTTCTTTAAAAAATTCCCTTCTATCAGTCAAAATTTAGAATTTATTTGTACAAAATCATGTCTTGTAAGGGATATTTCTAGTTAAAAGTTAAAGTTGAATAAGTGCTTCTTTAAAAATTTTTATAAAATCGCCAAAATTCAAACACAATTTCTAAAAAATTCTTGCTGGAAATGTTAAAAATTCCCTTAAAAATATTTATTACATTAATATTTAAAAAAAAAATACGAGTTCCAACGAAAAAACTTACGTTCTATTCGTCGGAACGAAATAAATTCGCCATTTTAAATATATTACACTTAATTTTTTTTGTTTCTAAGCATACATCTGACATTTTAATCAAGAATTTTGACAAGAAAAAAGAAAATTTAAGTAGAATCAAACTTTCGTTTTCAAGCAAAGAGAGGAGAGCGTGAATCAGATAATGTCTGAAGATGTCATACGAAGAAGATTCGTGTCACATGAAAGAATTAATGTTAAATGGGTTAACTAGACTTTCATGATCACGAATAGCAATTTCTTATGATTTATCACCCCCGTATACCTATCACAATTATCTTTAAAACGTTTCTATAAAGGAGGAGAATGTGGTGAAGCCAAGATTTGAAGAGCTTTACAGATAAAATGTATTTTTATTTTTTAAATTTGATACGTTTTGTACTGATAAATATAAGGTCTCATTCAAAATGTATTGTGTTCTTAGTGTTTTGTATGGTTTTAAAGGCGTTATGCCCTTGACATC